GAATCAGAAGGGCAGATTAGTAAAACTAGAAGTAAAGCAAAAATTTCAGCATTAGTAGAGTTAGCCCAAAAACAAGGGATGGCAGTAGTAAATTCTATGTTAAAAGTATCATGCACTAGAAGAAAAGCAGAACTTAAATGGGAGCTAGGAGATGTGAAATGAGGAATAAATTTGTGAGAACCGTCGGTGTAGAAGGTAAGTGAGTGTTCATTTTTTAGAGTAACTTTGAATTGGTTTAAAATGGTACATGTTGCGGGTGAGGATATTAAGGATTCCACAGTACAAAAGGGGGAACGATTGCTAATTAAAAGATTATTAGGAACAATGGTGGGTCTCATGTCTAAGTATCTCTGTGTAGCTTGATCAGAAACAGTCTTAATATTTCTTTTTAATATGTAGAGTCGTTCCGAGTTTACAGAGGTAAAGAAATTTGTTTGAATGAGTTGAGGTAGGTCAATGTCAACTAGGTTGCCACAATAAAGTCGTTGTGTAGCCAAAGGAAATCTTGCACATTGTGGTTCATTATTAAAAGTGCAGCCAGTACAAGCTACAAAAATGTTCTGTTTTTTTGATGGAGACCGTGGATCATTCGTAAAATCGGATGGAACAAAGTGTTGAAATAAAATTTTGTCTGGGAAAAGTGGAGATTTAAAAGATTTTCCGATAATTGTTTGTCCTGGGTATGGTAGATTATAAAAGTTTGTTTCAGGAGGAGTCCAGAGAGCAACCCAGTCTGATATCTTGGAAGAATCCATGGGAGAAGAAGTTTTAAAACCAACAGGTGTAAATGGACTGATGATATATTGGTCTTTAATTCTGTTTGATTGCACAGAGTTTATTAAAATTGTCTTTTCGATATAAGAGAACCATTCTGGGTAACTGCCTTTGACCGTATGATGATCGTTATTAACGTGAGTACTAAGATCTTGGAAATGTATAAGGAAATTACCCTCACATATGAGCTGATCGAAGAATAATATTGATTTGTGTCGTAATGAATTTATCCACTTTTTTTTCCAAGGTATGATGTTTTGTAATGGGGTGTTACCCCCTTTGATACGAAATGTAAAATTGTTTGATGTCGTGTTTGTAAATGACAAATTCGATTGTAAATAAAAGGAAATTATATTGCCAAGATAGTTGTCATGACGAAGTTTGTTTAAAGATGTAGGCCA